TCACTAAACTTGGCATTTCAGTCTTCAAGAAACAGCATTTCCATCCATTCCTTTCTTTTTTTCTTTAAAGGGATGGGGGTCTCATTCTGCTGGCCAGGCTGGCGTATAGTGGCCCAATCATAGGTCTCTGTAACCTCAAAATCCTAGGCTTAAGAGATCCTCCTGCCTCAGCCTCCCAAGTAGCTGGGACTACAGATGTGAGCCACCGTGCCTGTTAGCTTTTTTATTTTTTGCAGAGACAAGGTCTTGCTATGTTGCCTAGGCTGGTCCTAAACTCCTGGCCTCAAGCCATCCTTCCACCTTGGTGTCCCAAAGTGCTGAGATTATAGGCATGAGCCACCACACCCAGCCCATCTGTCCATTCTCTAAGTCCTTATAAGCGCCTGTTGAGTATCAAGCACTGTGCCAACATCCAGGTAGCACAGAGGCTGATAGCCTCTCCTTGATCAAGATGCAAATAACTTTGTAACTGTCAGGTCAACTTCTGAGAACACAGTTTTCTGACAGAGTACTTAACATTGTAAAATAGCTTATTTTAAGACATGAGCAGATGGAAATCAGTGTAAAAACCAATGTATTTCAGGATTTCAGTTGCTTTCCTCTAGGATGTCATTATTTCTATTAAAACACTGGTCTTGCCAGTGCATTCTCCATTTAATGATCAGATGTATTTCAGTCAGTGTCATACAAGGTAGAGAAATATCTAATTATTGGCTCATCAGAGATATAAACTGTAGCAATAGAGTTTTTTCTTTGAAATGTATAAGAAAAAATTCTTTGTTTTTCTCTTTTTCCTAGATTGTAAGATGCCAATGGGACTAAGCACTGGTCTCATATCTGATACACAGATCAAGGCTTCTGAGTATCTGGGTAAGTCATGGCATCATATCCTGTGAATGGCACTGCTACAACTGTGCAGTGTACAACCTATGAAACCATGACAACCCTGCCCATGGTCAGTTTCTACAGGCTTTTCTCTACCACTGTAGAGGACAGGACACTCTTGCAGGAGCTAAAAGCTGGCTAGTATGCTCTTACCACTGCCATGCACTGGTGTATAATAGTCCCATAGAGTCTCTTCTAGGGAAAAATGAAGGGCTAGTGTTTACTGCTATCTCTGCATAGGCAGTGCAGCTATCTGCAAGGATTTGGCAGAAAGTAGATAGCTTATTCTTATGACCACATGCCCGTTTCCAAAACTCTCCCCATTTCCTTTTTGTGAGGTTGATGGCACATGTAATATTCTAGGTAGATTCACGGGGTCTGAACAGCCAGGAATTATAGTTGCCATTCATAAGGCCCTTTGCCTGTGCCAACCCTTCATCTAGTCAAGGAACTTTAGTGATCACCCAGTATGTGTCAGGAACTCTTTTCCTCACTCTGGCTCAGTTCCTTTCCCAAGACCAGGTGGGTGTGATAAGAGCATCATAAGAATCCCACACACACCCCTTGCAGGTCTTCCCGTCAGCTGTTAGGCAAGCATGTTCAGCAGCAGACATGTCAACATAACTGAGAAAAGACAAACATGACCTGTGTGCAAGAGAAGGGGTGGGTGGTGGCTGCTGACCAAACACAATCTGAAGCCAGGAGCTCACCGAGGACTGGCTGGCTCAGCAGCCAAGGCCCCTGTCAACTGCCGGGTCTCCAAGATCCGCTCTTCCTCTTGATTCAACTCACTTGAGAAATTGCTAATTGTTTGGGCTTTTTAAAAATCCAGAATAAATAGTTCTCCATTTATGTTTAGGTCATTGGGAGCCTAGATTAGCAAGATTAAACAACATTGGATCATATAATGCTTGGAGTGTAGAAAAACATGCAACAGAATCTGACTCTACACCTTGGATCCAGGTATGTCCTGAAAATATTTACTGCTACTGTAATAAAAATAGCAGTGGTTTAGTAATTTCTTCTTGTTCTGAAAATATTGTCAAGGGAAATAGCAACTGCTAGGTACTAGGCACTATTCTAAGCACTTTACCATTCTCAAAATCATCTTTGAGGATGTAAAGCAGGCATCCTCAAACTACGGCCCGCGGGCCACAGCAGCCCACCTAGGACACTTATCCTGCCCGCTGGGTGTTTTTGCTGCCCCTGCCTGTCCTGCTTAGCAGCCGACTCATCCCAGGGCCTGCAGTCTGGCCCTCCAATGGTCTGAGGGACAGTGAACTGGCCCCCTGTTTAAAAAGTTTGAGGACCCCTGATGTAAAGGTTCTAGTAATGTCCCCTTTTATAGATGAAAACAACTGAGGCATAGAGATACTAACCACCTTCACAAAGTAACAGACAGCTAACTAGTGCTAGGTATAGCAAGTCCTCTGTGTTCAAGTGTGCATTGCATTTAGTCATTTCATTGGTTTGCTGAGATCATAGGTGCTGGTTCTTTAGTTTGGAAGAAAGCAAGTTGTACAATTAGGGCAGTAAGTGACTCATTGAAAAGGACTGTTCTGTTTACTGGCTTTGTCACATCGCAGGTGGACATGCAAAAGGAAGTCGTAATCACAGGGATCCAGACCCAAGGGGCCAAGCACTACCTGAAGTCTTGCTATACCACACAGTTCTACGTAGCCTACAGTTCTGACCGCATCAACTGGCAGACCTTCAAAGGGAACAGCACAAAGAATGTGATGGTTTGTGTGCATAGCTTTCCCTGAATCTCAAGACTCAGCCTAGGGGTATTATAACTGTCTAATAACACTCTTTAAAAAATATACCTCTCTGGTGTCGGAAATGTGAATGGCTTTCCAAGGGTCTTATGACGAGGAGTGGTAACATGATGGGTCTATGTATCAAAAGTTAAAAAGTGGGATTATTGAAATTTCAAAACCCCATAAAATTTGGGGGAAAAAAATCACTTTATCATCAAACAAAATATTCAGATTTCTCAGATGGGCACCATAGTGTACAGCAGAATAGAATATCTGGTCTTATGCCTGAAGGAGCCTATGCTAAAAGTTGGTTACAAAGGGTTTTGTTTTTACTATTACATTCTGTTTTGTGCTTTATTTCAATGTACCTGAAGGAAGTCGTAGAGTCAATAGGACTAATGCCCTGAGGCACTTGTGATTCTCAGACTTTCTGAGGGACCACAGCTATAGGGTTGTCCTTCCACTTAACCAGGAGGCCTAACTCTTCCCATCTTCCCTAACCTGCCCCCACAAAGAAAGCTGAGGGCAAAGAGTCTGTCTGCCGTTGAATCTGTTACAATTTTTATTTTCTGCAAATCATTTACTATTTTACTATTTTTCTACATTATAATTTAGTTATCTCTAATAAATTTACAATACATCTCAGAACAAATCATGACCATCTTTACTTACAGTTCTTACTAAATTGGCATTGGGAGAGAGAATACAGATTGCGGTTGAGTTTTCATGGCTTAATTAAGGACTTTTGCATTGACATTCATGACAGATTTGGGCATGTGGTTGTATTCTTTTGGACTATCCTTTTCTGTTTGTGATACCACAGTAATGTGAGCCTCAAGCATGCCCTTCTGTTTTACATTCTAGAAGAGAATATCTAGAAGTGGCATTAATTCTTTAAATGTTTGTTTGAAATCACTAGTGAAGCCATCTGGCCCTGGAGATTTCTTCTGGGGAGGTTTTCCAATCACAAATTCAACTTTTTGAATGCTTATGGGGCCAAATTTTCTATTTGATATTGGGTGAGTTAGGATATATTTCAACAAATCAGTCTGTTCCCTTTAGGTTGTTAAGTTTGCGTGTAGAGTTGTCCGCAGCATTCCCTTGCTATCCTTTTGGGGTCTGCAGTGATGTCTCCCTGTTCACAGCAGTATAGTATTTTAATTGGCAGCAGCTCTTTTTCTGTCAGTCTTGCTGGAGATTTGTCATTTTTTAATCTTTTTTACAGATCCCACTCTTGCATTATTTTCTCTATTTTTTCCTGTTTTCAATCTTGCTGATGTCTGTTCTTATATTCTATTTTAGCTGGCTTTTTCTGACACTACTCCAGCTGGGAAAGCCTGGTTCCTGCCAGATGGTGGTCAAAGTTCAGATGCCCCAGTCCCTTGACTCCTCAGAGGAAATTGCTCCTCTTTGCTTCTGGGTGGAGAATGGGAGTTCCCCACGTAATCTCTACCAGCATTGCAGGAAAAGGAGCTTCACTGGGAGCTGAAGAGGATAAAGGTTCTGGGTCCCTATGTGACATTTTCTGACAACCCCACTGAGGGTGCAGGTGTGCCTCTGTATTCTCATGACCATGGAAGTCGAGGCTCCCCACTCAGCCTCTGTGGCAAAGGATGGAGTAGTGTTTAGCTGAAGTAGGCAAGTGATTGGCTCCAAGTTTTCTGTCTTGCTGGTCTGCCCTTTCCTAGTTCTTTGAATAGAGAAAACAGACTTTTATTGCAGCTTTTTTTGTCTAAACCCATTAGTTTTTCCACTGTTCTGCCTTCTTCATCTCAAAGTCTGGGATACACGAGCCAAAACAAAAAGCAAAGACCACCCAAGGAACCTACCAGCACCATATTGTTCCTTCCAAGAACCCTAGTCAGTCTCTGCCTTCTTTCCTCCTTTCAGAGTCTGCTTATGTTTCTCTTAGGTCTGATGTTCAGGGTTTTTAGACATCGTTAGCAAGGCGAATAGGACAAACTGTACCTATCCCATCTTTTTGAAAGTAGCCCCAATTATATTTGCAGGCCCCATGAAAACTTAATACTACAATATTAAAAGATGAGCCTGGACAATTGAGTGTGAACTTGTCCTAGAAAAAGTGCTACATACCTCATTGCTGAATATCATTACAATCACCTTCAAAGTCCTCCCTTTAGCAATGAGGTATGTAGTACTTCCTCGAGGATGAGTTTGCAAACTTGATTGTTTGTCAGACCTTGTAAGATAGCAGCTCTGGTGGCCATTCCAGAAAAACGGTTCCAAAATTGCTTTGAAGGACAGAATAGGCACTGGCGTTGGTGCCCAGCTTCCCAAAGAAAGTATTTCAAAAGTAACCGTAGTGAGATTCAGCAAGGACGTATGTAGCGCTTTTTCTAGAATGTGTTTGCATCCTTAATTATCCAACCTTATAGATCAAAATTTTACTATAAAATCACTTTATAGAGAATTGTTACATAACTAAAACTTTCTTATTTTTTCTAGTATTTTGATGGCAATTCAGATGCATCTTCAATAAAAACGAATCAGTTTGACCCACCTATTGTGGCTAGATTTATTAGGATCTCTCCTACTAGATCCTACAACAGACCTACCCTTCGATTGGAACTGCAAGGTTGTGAGGTGAATGGTAAGGAACAAAGATACGTTATTTTCTCATTGCCCCTTAGAATCAAGATTTGGGAGACGTGGGAGAATGAGTAGAATTTTTACTTTTTGTTTAAAAGGGCTTTACTCATTTTTGATCAGGAAAAAGGACAATCTCAATGTCAACTTGTCACCTAATCATAAATCTGAATTTAAAAGATTCATAATCCAAACACTGCACCTACGGATAGCACAGCTTAAAACTCCCTTCCACCCCCTAAAGTTTTGTGTTGAAGAACAAACAGAATCCCCCTGCAGTAGCCAACACTGGTATTGGGGTACCAGTACTTGGCCTGGGTGTAAGAATTTTTAGGTCTTTTCCATGACTTAGGCTCCTGGAAGAGCCTTTGTAAAACAAATTCCATTAAAGCAAACCCTCAGTGTGATCTAGACTGAGACAGGCAATATCAGCCAGAGGTGGTCATTGTGCCTTTCCAGAGACTTTGCTTGTGGTCCTTGGTAGCTAAGACCCTACTGCCTTGAACAGAGGCCTTGCTTCCTTGCCTGAAGACAGTGCCCGGATGTTACAGACACATCACCATAACCTACAAGGAAAGGTTCTAATTTGGAATTATCTCCATCAGCTCATTTTCAGTAAGAACTACCTGAGAGTCAACGTAGGCTTGATTCTTCCCAAATCCTCCACGTCACTCAAACTTTAGTATCTAGGAACTAAAGCTGGCATATATTCACATTCAATGAGTGCTTTGGCAATCTGAGTCTGCTTCCTCACTTCCTAAAACCATAACTGTACTCTTTTAGTGCCCTATGCAGGTACTCAAGTCTTTTCCATGTAAGCTACAATTTTTCAGGGCCTGTAATTGACCTGTGGTATACATAAATCCAGGCAATCACAAATGGTCATTTAAAATTCTGCTACATAAGGATGTTTGAGTCTCATCAACCGTTCTCAGACTCTTAAAACAGTGCTTTTCAATATGTTTCATTTCAAAGCACACATAGAAAATGGCATTCCAATGTTAAAATGAGTTGTTGGGGCTCACCCCAGCCCCTGGGAGGCTTGACTGATCCAGGCACCACCTGGCTTCTTAAGGGCCAAGGAAGATCAATAAATAGGTATTGCCTGTTGGGGAGCTAGGGTATGTCCCCTCAGGGTGGAGGGAGGCAGCAGTGACTCATAGTGGAATGTCATTGCCACTGGTCAGGGTCCGGGACTGGTTGGTCTCCGGCCCTGGCTTATCAAGGTTCGGGATGTGGGCTGCTATGCTATGTTGCTCAGGAACAGCTGTTCTTAGGTGCCTGAGGGCTATCTACATTAGACTGGAGAGAGAGGAAGAGAGAGTGAGTCTTTGAGGCTGAAGTAGTCTTAGAACAGATCTTAGTCTTTAGTAGCTCTTAGTAAGCTTCAGCAGAGAGATGTCCTGCCGGCATTCTGCAGGCAGGAGACGCAACAGAGTGAGAGTAAGCGGGTCTGTGATAGAATGTGCACACTGCAGGCTCCCCACTGCCTTCTCCTCCAGCCTAATAGAAGGCTGATCTCGTGCCTCTGAACACCACAGGTGTAGAGACTGCCAATTCACTAATGCTTTCGTCCCACAAGCTCTCTCACGCTTGTTAGGAGAGCTAAATCCCTCCCGATGCCCTTTTCACCAAGGTGGTCCATTGAGCTATACAGGTGTTTCTTATAACTCACGCCTAGCCATTGGCTATACAGGCTGCTACATGTCCCTCCCCTTTTTCATACACAAAATTTTTAATGTGGTAAGGGCAGTTCTTGTTGTCTAGCCCTTTTCTTGCTAGGGAGGAGAATATGGTGATTGTCAAAGTTCTAAATTCTAGGTAAGGGCTCTTTCAATGACAAAGCCCAATACAGATTTTGTTTTTATTTAAGAGAGGGTCTCACTTTGTTGCCCTCAGTAGGGTGTGGTGGCATCACAGATCACAGCAACCTCCAGCTCTTGGATTTAGGCTAGTCTCTTGCCTCAGCCTCCTGAGCAGCTGGGACTACAGGCGCCCGCTACAAAGCCTGGCAATTTTTATTTGTTGTACAGTTTGGCCGGGGCCAGGTTCAAACCCATCACCCTCGGTATATGGGGCCAGCCCCCTACTCATTGAGCCACAGGCACCTCCCCCAATACAGATTTAATCTATTAGCTGCCACTAGGTAAAAAGGGTGATTGTAGTGTTAATTTCCTTAAAAGTCTTTTTAAACTGAGAAAAGTGAGAAAAATCTTAGCTGAGAGAATTTACCGTTTCATTTGAATTGTACTTAACAGACTAATAGGAGTTTACTCTTCCCTCACAATCTTTGCAAAAGGATTTTACTCTCCGGGTTCCAAAGGTTTTGCCACTCACGGTTTCTTGGTAGCAAAATTCCTACTGCTGTGAACCAAGATTCACCTTTCCAGAGATTTCGCTCGTGGTGCTTGCTAGTGAAGGCCCTACTGCCTTGAACAGAGGCCCTGCTTCCTTGCCTAAAGCTTTTCCTCTGCTCTTTGCAAGAAAGGATCTTATTCTTGCTGTTCCAGAGGCTTCTCTACTTGCAATTCTTGGTAGCGAAATTCTGATTACTAACAGGGGTTTTGCTTTTCCAGAGACCCAGCCCTTCACTATCCTTGGTAACAAAGTTCTCCTTGCTTTAATCACCCTTTACTGCTTCTGCATATAAGGAGCTGGCAGGCTGCTACTTCTGCCTTTAGCAGCTAGTGAACAAAGATACTGCTTTTCCGGCGGAATTTTTCCTTCGTTAGTTGATGCCAGACCTTATCTCTAGTGGTGTCCCCTAACATAAAAGGGACCTTCGAAATGCTCTCCCTCTGTGACCTCTCACATTATTCCGCAGATTCGTTTACCTTGAGTGTTTCTTTCCCTTGGGGCACATCCTAACCCCCTGTGTTAGGACACACTTAACAGTACATGCTGGTAAGAGAGGGGCAGTGAGAGTTACTCCCTGCCACTGGTCAGGCTCCGGGACTGGCTGGTCTCCGGCCCTGGCATATTTAACTATGTCTGGGACCCAAGGTAACCATATTTCCGTTAACGGAAAAGATGAACAGAAGATAAACTTATCTACTTTTTCTCTATTGTCATCTCTTGGTCTGGTTTAATTTCCTCCAACTCTGAGGCTTCACGGGTCCGCCACACTTACAGGCATGCCCATAGCATAGAGTTGAATTCTACTGTTTTTTCAAGAGTAGTTTGAAAAATAGTTTGAAACAAAGATGTTCAAGAAACTCTCATTGAATTGAAAGCGGCAGTCCCCTTTGCCGAAAGCCATAGACCTGGAAGTTTAGATTCTGTTTCCCTAGATCACTTAAAGAGAAACTGTTCTTTTCATTGGCATTCTGTATTTTCTCCGAGCAGCTTTTTCTCACATAGCCTAGCTTCCCACCTTTATGGTATTTGATGTTAATGGGAGCGGTGGTGGTGGGGATTTTTCAGCTGATCTTATACCGATACAGCTTTCTTAGCTTCAACTGTAAGACTGATCTTCAGCTATTTTATCTTAGTTACCGTGATTTTGATTTTCTGTCAGCTTTTTAACCTCTTACAATTTTTTTGTTGTTGCTGTTGCGTTTGGCCGGGTTCAACCCGCCACCCTCGGTATATGGGGCCGGCACCCTGCTCACTGAGCCACAGGGCGCTGCCCTACCTCTTACAATCTTCCCCTTTCAAATTGAACCTTTTATTGCCTTAAAAGGGACAGGGGGTGTCGATCGTTCCAAGGCTGCTTCCTGCTGAAAGTGGACGCTGGTAGAGGGGAAGGCAATTAAAGGTTCCTTTCCCTAACTTAAACTCTTACAACGTGTCCCAACTTTTTTTTTTTTTTTTTTTGCAGTTGTTTTGGCCAGGGCTGGGTTTGAACCCACCACCTCCGGCATAAGGGGCCAGCACCCTACTCTTTTTTTCTTTGTTTTGCGGAAGGCTTTCCTCACTCGAGTCTAAAGGCTTTTGTTTGTCCTTATCTGTTCTTTCCTCTCTAAAAGCTTTTACTCGTTTTTCTCCAGCCCTGCACAGAAGAGGCTAAAGGCTTCTTATTGTCTTTTTCCCCACAGAAGAGATAATTAGAGTTTGGAAGGACAAAGCGCAGAAAAGAAACTGAAGAGAAGGCCTGATGAACTGTTGGCTGTCTTTTTCTCTTATATATTTTTCCCTCTCTTTTTCTCCTCTTTTTCTCTTGGCTGTTCTTAGCTTATTCTTTACCTTTGGCCCAGGTCTGCGAGATCTCAGTGGCTTGTTCTCTATCCTGCTGACTAGGCATTTGTCATTGCCACGGGTCAGGGTCTGGGACTGGTTGGTCTCTGACCCTGGCTTATCAAGGGTCCCGACTCGGGCCACTATGCTACATTGCTCAGGAACAACTGCTCTTAGGTACCTGAGGGCTATCTACGTTAGAAAGGAGAGAGAGAAAGATAGTCTTTAAGGGTGAAGTAGTCTTAGAACAGAGCTTAGTCTTTAGCAGATCTTAGTAAGCTTCAGCAGAGACAGGCTGTGCTAGCGTTCCACAGGCAGGAGAAGCAACAGAGTGAGAATAAGCGAGTCTGCACACCGCAGACTCCCGACTGCCTGCTCCTCCAGCCTAATATAAGGCTGATCTCGTGCCTCTGAACACCACAGGTGTAGAAACTGCCAATTCACCAATGCTCTCATCTCGCGAGCCCTCATGCTTGTTAGGAGAGCTAAATCCCTCCCTATGCCCTTTTCACCAAGGTGTTTCATTATTGAGCTATACAGGTGTTTCTTATAACTCTCACTCCTCCTAGCCATAGGCTATCTGGGCTGCTACAGTGGAGACAGCAGCTGAACCTTGGAATCAGTTTCTATCCAAGCAGAGGTGGTACAGTAGACCCTTGACTTTCCTGACAGATAGAGACATGGGCATTTTGCCAATGCCCAGCTAGCAGTAGTATATAACATCCCGCATACAAAACACAAATCTTATATAGGTAGGAGTGCTCCTTGAAAATATTTGGATAAGTCATTGGTTGTTTTTTTTTCTTTCCATATGAAGTATGGTATAAATAATAGATGTGTCCAGATCATAGTCAAGTTACGCTAAAATGTGACATTCAACTCTTAATTTATCAAAAACATCTACTTTCTATACAAGAAGCAGTATTGTCTTCTTCACTTTCTTTCTTTTTTTTTTTTTTGCAGTTTTGGCCGGGGCCGGGCTTGAACCTGCCACCCCCCAGTATATGGGGCCGGCACCCTACTCCTTGAGCTACAGGCACCTCCCTTCACTTTCTTGATGCTTATATAATCAGCATTAGCAGTCAGTGTTCCTCTTAGGGCTTTTCTTCAGGGTAAAAGTAAGGTATCACTTGGAGTCAATTTGTTCATGCTTTTCTAGCAAGAACAGAGTGTCACAGACATGATAGGCAGGCAGCAAGGCCCGCTCACTAGCTGTGTGCCTTACACTCACAGGTCAGCCTCGCTGCCTCTAATGCTCAAATTATACCGTGGCAAAATTACAAAAGGTATAAACACGAATTAACTTCCAAGGGTTGAAAAGAAAATTATTAAATGATGACTACCAAGGCTTCATTGTATCTTCTTTATAACCTTTTTTAGAAGAAAAAACAGAACATATAAATAGATAGATAGATAGATTAGGATTATTATCTATCTCAAAGCAAAGACAGAAGTTTCTGTGACTCTCTGAAGGAGAGAAGTGAGTTTAAATGTTCACAAGGTGGTATTTGGCGTCAGACTGTGTGGGGTCCAATTCTGGCTTTGTTACTTTCGGTAAGTGCTTGCTTTGTGCTCTATTTTGTTTCCTTGCTTGTAAAATGGAGATGTTATGAGCATTAAGTAATACATGGAAAGGCTGAAGACAGTATTTAGTTTAGTTGGTGGTAGTATTTCTTATCTTCTCTGCAGGACACAATGTGATGCAGCGAATATTGGTGGTGCGTAATTAATTATGTTACTTTCCTCTTGACAGGATGCTCCACACCACTGGGTATGGAAAGTGGAAAGATAGAAAACAAGCAAATCACAGCTTCATCATTTAAGAAATCTTGGTGGGGAGATTACTGGGAACCTTACCGTGCCCGTCTTAACGCCCAGGGACGTGTGAATGCCTGGCAAGCCAAGGTGAAATTTGCTTTATGCATTGAGTTCTCTCAGCTCCCATGAAGAAAACAAAGGCCCTTGCAACAGGGGGCAAGGGGGTGGCGGGTCTACCGAATAGGAATATTATCTCCTATTTCTGCAGATTAAATTGTAGGTCTAAGGATCTAGGATGTTTGTTTACTTGATAGCTTTAGCTCTTCCTTGGCCTAGCTTTGATTTAATCAAAAGAGTGGGAAAAAGTTTTCTGGAAAGGGCTAGACAGTACATATTTTAGGTTTTGTGAGCCATGCATTTCTGTCATAACTGCTGTTTCTGCCATTGTCCAGGGAAGCAGGTCTAAATAATATGTAAATGCATGAATGTGGTTATGTTCTAATAAAACTTTATTTACAAAAAACAGGCAGTGGGCGATAGTTTGCAAGCTCCTGAGGTACACAACCTCAGGAAGCAAAAGATTTAGATTTGCAAAATCATTTCTTATTTTTTCTTCACAATTTAGTAATATTTCATTTTCTTAAGAGTGCTATTTATGCTTTTTTATTCTCATTTTTAAAGTGCTTTTTGACATTCCTTGAAGGAATTGGAGGCATAGTAAAATGTTGTAAAACCAGGGCTATAAATCAGTGAACTAAATTAAACAACTTTAAAGTATCATATTGCCCCTGATATAGCTCATTCAGTATTTCAGGTGATGTAGTTTTAGGGTAACGGTTAATAGTTGACTCATTTTTGTTTAATTCCTCAACTGATTTGAGAAATCAGAATGGCATAGGTAACTTTATGATCCCTTTAGCCAACTAAACACTCTTTCCCTCCCTTAAGATACTTACACTCCAGAATTTAATTGTTTCTTTTTTCTCATATGGGCCCATAGTTATTGGTCTACTATTTTCAGATTAGTACTGAATACATGGGATGCTTGCATTTCCATTCTTGACATACTTTACTTAGGGAAATGAAGTCCGATTCCCTGACTTTCTAAAGAATTCCAAGACCTATCCTTAAATTAGGCCACCATGAAGTGGAAAAAAGAAAAGCTTGGATGCTACACAAATAGGCTTGATGTCTGTGCCTTAAAACTCATTCTGGTCCATCACAGAATGACAGAATGTGAGAGTACCAAGTAGCCATCCATCTGGTCCAGGCTTTTCTTTTTAAGTCTAAATACCCTGGAGATTAAGTAATCTCAGTTTACTCTGGTAGCAGAATTACAGCTGGAATCTCATTCTCCCAATAAACAGGCCGATGGCTCCTTTCATCATTTGAAGCAGCCCAAACACCTCATTTTGCAACTTTGCAGAGGGGAAAATGGACAGCTAGTTAAAATAATCATGTTATAGCTATACAGTTTGCACATATGTAACATCACATTTAGATAATTTATGTAACAATAGAATAGAGATGTCATCGTTAGACCTGTTCGTGGTTTAACCTTGTCACCCCATCCTCCTTTTTATAACCTAGAGAAATAATTGCTCTCCATATAATTTGCTCTTAGTCTTTGCAATGTAATAAAGGCCCCAGAGATGAAATGCTAATTTTAATTTTTAATGCTGTCATTTATATTTAATATTCTGGGTTAGAAATATTTGCTTCATTGAGCCTTCCATTTGCATGAAAAATCCTTATACATTCTCTTCAGAGAGGCTGAAAATTGAAGCCAGACAGATACAGACACACATACTGAGATCCGTCTCTTTACAACTAACATGTTTCTTTCTACCTCTTTGATGCCTGTGACCATCCTTTAGCTCCCTATATCCCATATATCCACTGGTGCCACCTTGATTTGAAGGCACATTGAGACCCCACTCAGATGTTGCTGGGGGATATTACAGACTTATATTTTCAAATGCAACCATTTTAATTCGAGTAATTTGCTTTAAAAATATATTTAGTGTGTGAATATATACATAGACATACATATGTATATACCTATATACACATACACCCATGCACAGATGGGTAATGTGGAGAAACAACTTATTTCACATAGGATTGAATGAAACTTTGGGACATGATAAATCTCTCAAAGGTGAAAATTTATCTCAGATTACTCCAAAACTCAGATAGTCTTTTCAATCTTCCTTCTCCAAGTAACGTATCACCAAACATGCGATGAGGCATTTTGTAGGCCAGAGACAGGGCCACTTCTGAGCTGTGTATCAAGCCCCCCTTATGGCTTTATGAGGGCTCTCAAATATTACATTTATTTGAAATATCAGAAAAGAAGAAATTGGGGTATTTGTGCTGTTCAGTATTAGCAGTGGATGAACAGAGAAGTTGGGCTTTTCTAAAATGAGTTAACTAGAGACAGAATGCTATCCGCTTCTTTCCCAGAAAACCCTGAAGTAATTATCTCTTACTCTCTGAACAAACTTGTTTTAAGAGAATAACATTTTTAGGTAATTTAGCACTGCAATAATTTCCCCCCGATCAATTTATTCATTCATTCAACAAGTATTTACTGAACACCAACTGCGTGCTTTGCATGTGGTAAATACTAGAAAGGAAGACTCAGCCTCTGCCCTCACGCAGTAAGGGACAGAAAGAAGAAATAATTGTGTGTGGTGTGGGAAATACTGCAATAGAGATTTATGGACGTGCAACAAAGAAAAAACAGGGAAAGTTTCTGGGAGACAGTGAATCCTAAGAAATGGGCTGAACATATCTATGAGCTGCGTGCATTTCTGAGTATCTTGGTTTAGAAAAAACAAAATATTTAACATCCTTCTGATCCTTGTGTTTTGGTCATTTTCACAGGCAAACAACAACAAACAGTGGTTACAAATTGATCTGCTTAAAATCAAGAAGATAACGGCGATTACAACTCAGGGCTGCACGTCTCTGTCCTCTGAAATGTACGTGAAGAGCTACACCATTTACTACAGCGATCAGGGAGTGGAATGGAAACCATACAGGCAGAGATCCTCCATGGTGGACAAGGTAGAGTGGCATCTGGGCAAAGAGAAAGCAATTTGAAAACTGTGCAGTGATGAGAATGGCAGTCATTTTCATTTGGCAAATGGGCGCTGACAGCTCCCACCTCCTCAGTCTTCTAACTCCTAGTTCTTCAGGTGCCTGATCTTGGGACAGGCGTATCACCTTTCTGCTTTGAAAGGATCACCCATGAAATGGTGAGGACAGAGCCACTAGGGATGTTACAAAGCTTTGTTAACTCTAATTCCGAAAGACAGGGAAGGGATTCAGGAGAGGTTATGTGGAGTAACACCACACTGGCCTTGCCTTACTTACACTTGTTATTTATTATGGATCAAATCCAAGGCCATAAACCTTTCTGTGTCATATTGTGATGAAACAAAAAATAATTAGGATCTTTGCTGATGAAGAGATTAGATCTCCTGCAAAATGAACTACTCCTTTGCATTCCTAAATAATTCTACTTCCTTATTACGGGCTTAGAAGTACTATCAGGGGCAAAGCTAAAGCAACGTGCCTAGTATTCCAGGAATGCCAGGAAATTGGGCTAGAGCCAATAGGAGAGGAAACAGGGAAGGGAACTGCTGTTTACTGACTTCTCATCAAATGCTCAGCACTTTTCTCTGTTAATGAACTTGAACTCATCTCTCTCCTTTATAAACTCCTGAGCTGTCTGTTTGGTTTGCTTTCTTACTCCCGATACCAGGTTATCTTCCCAGCGTGGGAAGGGTCATAAACAAATTGTAATTTTACTTCTGCTGTCTGTAAATACCAGGGAACTTGCTGAGGATGGGGAGGGGGGGAAACTCATGAAACAGTGAAGAATATCACATATATGCCTAAATAAAGAAATAAAAATGCATGTTTGCATTTTTCAGTGTTAGTAATAGTTAACCATTTCTCAGTGGCCACTACCTGTCACATGTTCACACACATTTTTGAATCCTTACAGCTTCTGCCAGGTAAAATTTTATTTCCCTCATTTTGCCAGTGAGGAAATGGAGACTCGGAGAATCCAAGTCCTTTCTCCCGTGTCATGTAACCACAAAGGACAGCTGCCCCAGAGCATCACGTCCGATTTATTTATTTTTTGTTAACTTGATTCAGATGTCTGGGGCGATAAAATCCCTAAAAGGGTCCGTGGGGCATGTGACTTTACACCTGAGGACTGTCCCTGTGATCGCGTTGTGTGTGTTCTTTGATGTCCTTCATTTGAGCTAAAAGGATAAAAAACGTTTCTGTAAGATTTCAATACCCCCGTCTACTGTCATTAAATATTTTTCTCTTTTATTTTGCTTCCAGCTTTTCGAAGGAAATGTTAATACCAAAGGGCACATGAAGAATATTTTCAACCCCCCAATCATCTCCAGGTTTATCCGCATCATTCCTAAAACATGGAATCAAAGTATTGCCCTTCGCCTGGAGCTCTTCGGCTGTGATATTTACTAGAATTGAAAATTCATAAACACAGGAAAGAATCTTCAAGACCTCAAAGCATTTAGAGTGGGCAATGTATTGGGGGGCTATTTTAAATGTTAATTTTCTGTTTCTCTTTTTTTTCTATTAGAGAATAAAATTTTATAAGAAACTTTTATAATGTAACTCCTTGCCACCATGAAGTGACATGGTGGCTATTGTTTGTGCATTAATTTAAATATAAGTGGGGAAAATAACAATAACCAACAAGAAAATGGCTTGCCTTTCACAATGATTAATAATGCTATATAAGGGCATAACATGCCTCGTCATAGCTTCTTTAAATCCTGTTCACATTAATAAAAGATATACTTTTGAAAACCATTTATAGACATGGATAACTTTCATTGCTACATTTTTCTTTAAGTATGATTAAAGAGCAAAGGACCCAAAGATAAGACTTTTAAACGCATTTTTCTTGACAGTGGAGAGAAAAATAATCTTACCATATGAAATAAGTGCCTAAGATGTCCCTTTTTTCCTTGATGACAGTGATTTTTCTGACTGTGAGTAAAGAAACAGGTGAGCACATTTTCAACAGTCCCATTGAATTTGTGGATCTGTCTTGGTCTTCCTTGGGACTGACTGCACAAATTGATGTTCAAGGTTAGTGGTCATTAGATGCAAAACGGAACCAAAACAAGCATGGGAGACCTGTAACATTGGCTTCATTGTAACTGGCGCCACACAGAACACAGTTCACCTAAGGGAAAGCTGATACCTGTAAACAGAACATTGGAACTGCTGGTCCAGGCTTGGCGCCTGTGGCTCAAGTAGCTAAGGTACCAGTCACATACACCTAAGGTGGCAGGTTCAAATCCAGCCTGGGCCCGCCAAAACAACGACGGCTGCAACCAAAAAATAGCCGGGCGTTGTGGCGGGCGCCTGTGGTCCCAGCTATTTGGGAGGCGGAGGCAGGAGACTCGCTTGAGCCCAGAAGTTGGAGGTTGCTGTGAGCTGTGATGCCGCAGCACTCTACCCAGGGGGATAGCTTGAGGCTCTGTCTCAAAAACAAAAAAAGAAACTACTGGTCCAAACACAGCTATTCCTGCCAGAACAGAACTAGCCAGCAATACCCTCCTCTCTGCGGTCTCCACCTCCTTCTCATTCCCCAGCAACTTCCTCTTCCTTGGGAACTTGGCATCCAGTGGTCCTATAGATACTGTGGAACTGGGGAGCATTTTGCATCCTGAAGTCATCCAGAGTACACAGTCATTGTTGCAGTTATCTCTACATTTTATTTGTGAAATAGACTACCTCAACTCTTAGTATTTAAAACAACCATAAAAAAATTGTTATATGATGTGAAGTATATGTTAATTAGCTTGATTTAATCATCCCACAATATCTACATATACCAAAACACATACCATAAATATATACAAACTTCATTTGTTAACTAAAAAATAAATTTTTAAAATAACTTTACAACAGTATCAATAAATTTATCATCTTTCATGTTTCTGTGGGTCAACTGGGCTCAGGTGAGTGGTTTTATTGCCAGCTTCATTCAGGTTCTCACAGGAGGTTACGGTCAGACAGTGGCCACATCCAGAGTCATCAGGAGGCTTAACTGAACCCTGAGACAGCTGGTTCTCTCTCACTATATGACTTTTCTACACGGACTTATCCACTTGATGTCTCTGACAGGGTAGCCGGACTCTGTATATGGCTTGCTCTTCCTCCCAAAAGCAAGTGTTCCAGAGGTAGGAAGAAGCAGCTGCCAGTACTTTCAAAGGCTATGCCCACCACCAGTGCAGCTTCACTTCTGCTGCATTCTATTGGTTAATACAAGTTACAGATCAGCCTAGATTCAACGTAGAAGGGAACCGTCAGAGTCACCTCTGGCACCTTTCGGAAGGGTGAGCCCTGTGAATCTATATGAGAATGTCAAACATCCACAAAACACTGACTTTCTAGTATTTGTATTGCCATTATTTCTTTCTTTTCAGGACTCATTGTTCCACCATCATTTCTAAGATTTTCATTCTATTGAAAGCAAAAAGAATGTCTGAAGGAACAGGAAATATTCATTTGTTTTCTCCGGGCCAGACTCATAACTATGCACTGTTATGCATGCTGTTCATTCCCATGCTTAGTTTAATGTTCTGCTGTCACTATCTTGAAATTCATAATACATTTTAACAAGGATCCCAAGATTCTCATTTTGTCATTAATCCCCCAAATTATGCAGCTAGTCCTGGGTCTCTCTATTGCAGAATTGGACAGGAGCTCCCTTGATCTATAATCTAACTGAGGTATAATAGAGGCAAGAAAATCGTGTGAAGTAATAGGTAGGGGAAGAGATGGGAAAGGAGTGTGAGATCCAAGTCCATTATCCAACATAGGAGAAGAACAAGGCCCTCAATATTAAACAACTTATCCAAGGCTATGGCCTGGGAGTATCAGACCTAAACCCAGAAACCAGATAATCACACCCCTGGCCTCTTTTTCAGTCTGGTTTCTCTTCCATAAAAAGAATTATAATGCTTATAATTTGTCCTCCCCCAGACAGATAGACATGAAAGTTAATAATAACTAAAAATGGATCTAGAAAATACTTGTTCAGGAATCCATGATAGGTTTGAGCTGCATCTGAGCCTGTGCAGAAATATTAAAACTTCTTTTATTTGGAAATAAAAACCATTCCCACCCTTTATTCCTCTCTTCAGAGTCATTTACATGAAATTACAACTTGGCTTCATAGTATATCCTCCAGTTACATAACATAGTCCACTGTTTGTGATACCATAAACCATTCGGTTGCTATGGAAAGGAGTTAAATGACTCACACTGGAATCACGATTTGGAAGGAGCAAACAACAGATAAAATCCTAAACATTATCAGGCATCCTCATTGCAAGTTGGAAAAGTGTATCTGAGAATGTGACATAAACGTGACAGGGTTAGGAGAAATTTGAAATTCTCTCTCCAGTATCTTTTTCAAGTTGTTAAAAGAAATAGCAAACTTCATGCCTGTTTTAAAAATAACTATGAATAATTGCCATATTTTGGGTTCAGGACCATTGTGGCAAACTCAAACAAAAACCATTAGCCAATGTCTTGAATCCTCATGAGAGCCAGGGATGTGTCACCCGTTTACTTCTCTGGATGGATCAAGAATGAATAATTTGCAAGGCAGTGGCCCAACATGTTTAAAAACATCTGAAAGTCAAACAGTACTATTTTTCTTAGTGTTTTTTTTCCTAACAGAGAGGTGTCTTATGGAAAATTCTTAATGCCTAATTCTCCCTCGTTCTATGTTCTCAGAGCCTAGAGACAGGGAATGCTGAGATATAAAATGACAGAGTGTGGAGTGACTTGTGCAAGGTCACTGCCCAGGTAACAAAGAGGCTTTTCATGCCCAGATACCTCCTGAGTTGAGAGTGACTAACAGAGCTTTAAGGTGCTGCTGTCTCTGGCTTATATAAACTGTCCTCACCAAAACGCATGCATGTGTTTGCATTTGCTATATAGAAAGAAAACTTTGTATTAACCTCCCTAGACTTACCATCATTTTAATTTCTTTTAAAAAATATTAAGCTCATTCTATCTACACAAAAAAGTACTGTACTAAGCATTGTGGGCGGAGTATGTAGAGGAAATAAAGGACATTTCTCTGGCCCTTTAAATCACATAGTTATATATGAATCATATAGTTATATAGAAAAGACAAACACAGTAAGCAGAGACTATGAGCCTATTCTGTCTGAGAGATTACACCCAGAGTGGAGTCAGACCGTGAATGCTAGACGATTGGACCTCGATTATTTGAAGGGGATAATGGTTATGTATCAAGTCAATCTGGGCAAAATCCTGAAGAAGAGAATTGGGGTAAAGGTCAATAGAAACCAGAAAGTATAAGAGCTTTTACATTCAGATTCCTGCAAGCGTTCTCCCATGAGCCCAGCTCTCCCTGCTCTCTGTGTACTGTCCAATAATGAAGTACCAAGCGCCTCCCTCCATCTCCTCCAACGTGGCCACAGATCTTGTACATTTGTAAAGTCGAAAGAAACAATGGCAGCAGCTAACTGGATGGACCCAACAATCTGAAGGTGGGGTAAGGTGCACCCACAAGTACAAAATGTATTTCTAATCTGCAAACTGTGAGTAAGAGATGGTGGTGACTAGATGAAGAGCCGGTTGCCTTTGGAAACATTGTAGAAGATGCCTGTGTAGAATAGGCTTCTGACTTCCATACGGTGATGGGAGAATGGCCCTGGACTTGGAGACGGTGGTAAATGTTATATTCTGGAAATTGACTAATAGGGAGATGAGACAATTACAGGGGATGTTTGAACAACGACCAGAGTTCAAAGTGCTTATGCGATGGCTTTGCTGGGTCTGTTCTACCACTGGTCCACATTTAAGCCACCACGTTAAGCCACCAGGTCATCGGCACCTTTACCTCGTACACTTAGGGGCAGCCTCTCTCAGTGTCCCAGGAATGATGTACAGATAATTTCATACCCCCACCTCCTTTTCATTGTCATTAAATTTGGTATTTTTTATTTATCTCAAATGCCTTGTATTGACGTTCCCCCTTTGCTGACTAAAAAAAGCTTTCTGAAAGTCTGAAATGTGACAACCTTGTTTATAGACATGACAGATAAAAATGTAAATAAAACTTTTATCTTGTGAGTAGTCTGAGAGAGACCGTGAAAACAGCTATATTTCTCCATAAAATGTTTAGAATAGCACTTGGCACAAAGAAGTAAGTATTATTAATATTAATGTTAGCAAAAATAGCATAAATATGATATACTATAATAGGAATACAAGAGTGTGAGTAATTTGTTTTCTAATAATGTTTAATGCTAGTCATTATTTTAAAAAATTGTGACCCCATATGCATAACATAGAATTTATCATTTTAACCATTTTTAAGTGCACAGTTCATTATTATGCAACCATTACCGCCTTCGCCGGCTCTTCCCTTTTTATTGCCCTTTTAGTTTTGACAGGTAACACAACGCTTTTCCCAGTAGGTGGCGTGTCTGGTTCAACAGCCCACAGCCAGTGTTCGGAGGACTTTCTCATTGAGGTTAAAGCTTAATTATCCAGACTAAACAAAGACTTGAACCGTTCGAACTTTTTCAGAGGATTTAACTGACTTAATTAGATTTTTCTGAGGGGCAGGGATTTTGAACATTAATTCACATCCTGAGCCCACAGGCTGAGTATGGGATCCAGAAATTATTGTACATGAACCGCAAATTGGGAACATTTAAACAAAATTATGTAAGCATTTTTTGTGCAAGAATAATCAATTGGTTGCAAAAGAAGTTTAAACAGGGAGAAATAAATAAATTGTGCCAGAAACG